TTTCGATAATAAATCTAAACGAATTATGTGTACAGGAGAAACATAACTGCACTGTGTTGTGCACGTGTGCAGGTGAAACATAACTGCACTGTGTTGTATACGTGGGCAGGTAAAACATAACTCACTGTGTTGTATACGTGTGCAGGTGAAGGATAACTGCACTGTGTTGTATACGTGTGCTTGTGAAACATAACTGAACTGTGTTGTGTACGTGTGCAGGTGAAACATAACTAACTGCACTGTGTTGTGTACGTGTGCAGGTAATCCATAATTACACTGTGTTATGTACTGAAGACTAACTGCACTGTGTTGTGTATGTGTGCAGGTAATCCATAATTACACTGTGTTGTATACGTGTGCAGGTGACGACTAACTGCACTGTGATGGTAGAAACAGCACATGCTGTCGGCGCTTGTGGATGAAAGGATAATACGAGACGAGCCAAAGGAAAAGGTCGCAGGAAATACGAATTTAGCCCGATATTTTATTTGCTTCTGTAAGATTTCTAGTTTATTATAAGTGTTACTTTGAATAAGGAAGTTTTTTTTCCATATTGTTTTCACGTGTGTTGAACATTATCTCTACTTATGCTATCAGAAATATTATGAAAAAATGATATTTGGGATTCGCACTTCTGTCATAATATTCTCCATAAAACCAATCTCGCCAAAATCTGTTTGATGTTAGGACCATTTCAGATTATTTTGCGTGTGTTATTTGCGTATCTATTTCGATCAATTATTCTATGCTGTTTACTCTTTGAAGTCAAAATACTGTTGTTCGTTTAACACTTTTTGTAACCATCATAATTATTAAATCGTTTTACACCTTACTATACATTTGCTTTGAATTTTCATGTATGTGTTAGGCGTGTGCGTATGAGTGTGTATGTGTAAGTGTGTGCGTGCGTGTGCGTAGGCGTGCGTGTGTGCGTGTGTACGTGTGCGCTCTATGCGTGAGTGCCTGTCCGCGTGTACGTAAGCGTGCGTGTATGTGCGTGTGTGTTTGTGTTCGTTAGTAGGCCTACGTACGTGCGTGTGCGCATGTGTGCGTCGCTACATGCATGTGCGTATGCGTTTGCGCGTGCGTGTGTATAATTATATACTTGCGTTTGTGTGTATATACAGAAGGAAATTTAGACAGAAAATAAGGAAACACTTGTATTACACATACATGAGAATTATTCAATTAAACAGACTACAAGTCCTTAAGAATCTCATGCAGCTTGTATATTTTGATACGTAGTTATCCGTGTTGTAATGTAGTGGTGGGTACGGGGAATAAGAAAATCACATGTACTAAAGGTTTCCGTAGATACACCGCGTGATTGAGTTAGCACCATGTATCAGATTAGTTTATAACAAAAGCACTGTCGTGTAAGTGCTTGTCTTGACAGATATAGAGCCAGCGGGTTGCATAATAACCAGAGAATTCGGACGAAAGGGTGACCGCCGTGGACGGTGACGTAACAGCACAGGTACAAGGAAATGACCGGCAAGAGCTAAAATAGAGGTCAGATTTCCTGGTTGCATCGTATAAGGTGTTGGTCAGCTAAGCATTTGCGTTGAGCTCGCCTCTGTGAACAAGAAGCGAGAGGTAGCGCGCGAGAGATCACTGTGGCAAGATGTTGCGTTTTATTCTCACCCTGACCATCTGCATCAGCAACGTAAGTATACGGAAATAATGTTTGTTTTACCTAAGAATAGCCATCGTCCTAAATCAGTATCAACGCGATAAACTCTTGCTGGTAGCAAAGAAATTTGTAGCAAGATTTATTGAGATCAATATAGCGTATTAATTTCAACGAAATGCTACATAAAATCGGCTATATGCACCTTTATGTAAACACGTGCATATATGTACAGGTATATCAGCTGTCTGCAAGCGAAGGTTACGATAGCCATCCTGTGACAAATAGTGGAGATGCTGAGAGATTGCTAAGAACTAGGTATGTTGCTATAGATACAGATGGCTAAAACATTGGGTTGCTCGTCGATGAGATATTCTGTAATCTGTAGGCCTATAAGTTATTATTTGTGCAGAAGATCTAATATTTTAAAAACTTGGCTTTGTGCCAAATAGAAAAACATCAAACAATTAATAAACACGCGCTCATGCGTACGCACGCACGCATCGCGCATGCACATACGCACTCACACTCGCACGCACTAATATATAATGTTGATCCAACATAAGACGGTTTGTTCAATCACTTACAACAAGACCCGTTTACCGGCCAATTAACTAGGAAACACTAGCCGCTAACACTTTCTTTCCTCTTTAATTTTCAAACGAAGATATAAATACCTGTATATTGGGTGGGGTTTCCCGTGTCTCATCAAGTTCCATGACATTTCAGTGCGACCTTGTCTATTTCATCAAAATATATCTGATCAAATATATATATCGATATAACTCATTTATAACACGCTTTTAAATTTAGGTTAACCAATGCCCAATTTATATGCCACAGTGTGTAATAATTCCAAATGATTCCTGATGTTAGTCTGTATGATGTTATTGTAGAAACACGTATTTCGGCCTCACTTCCAACCAGTACGACCGCCATTTCGACAAAGTTGCTCAACATCAGCCGCGCGGCTACGATGTTGGTTGGACTGTAATACTCGCTCAGCTATGTAAGGGTCTACGGACAGTGCCAGAAAGGTAACGTTGCAACGTACATCGAGTCAACCATGCACTGGTTTACGTTCTTTATACTAGAAATGGAAATGCGTGAAATGCAAATGTAAGCGGTTTCCAGTTAAATTATGTTTACGATTTGACGAGAGAATATTAGCAGCCACTTGTTGCACCAGCAATGGGGTATGTCTGGTAAACAAAATTTATTAATGTTCGGATTATTATCTATTTACTAAATTTAATCTTTCATCCGCAAAATTCTTCGCTAACACCTCAGCATTCTGCATCACTTAAATTAACGAGTAGTTTCAGTGTTTTAATTTTTATTCAAGTTATTTCAATTTACAACGGGGCGGAGTATCTAATAAATTATATGTATATATCTACTCCTAAACCTTCAGCAATAATAAAAAGACCATGTATTATAATGTAGGTCATTATTAACTTATTTGTAGTATCTTGTATTCGTCGTTATCTCATCGTTATATGCCAATGTTTGGAGATCGCTCACAGGACGACGACTCGAACGACCAAACACTACGTGAAGCTAGAGTAACAGACCTGTTTATCGACGTAGCAAAGAAGCGTTCACAATCGTACGTCCGCTCAGATTGTTCGCTTATAACTCTGACAGCTATATGATTTGTTAAAGCGCAATCATTTATACTGTTTCATAATTGGCTATCCCGGGTTGCGTGACCGCTGCTATTATAAGATTATAATATATATATATATATTAATAACTCATAATATATAGTATATATATATATATATATGTGTGTGTGGTGTTGGGGTCTGGTCCTGCTGTGTAGTGTGTGTGTGTGTGTGGTGTGTGTGTGTGTGTTGTGTATTGTGGGTGTGGTATGGGTGTGGTGTGCCGCGCTGGTTTGTGGTTGTGTAGTGTGTGCGTGCTGGTGTGTGTTGTGGTGGGTGGTTGTATTGGTGTGTTGTGCTGGTGGTGTGTGTGTGTGTGTGTTGTGTGTGTATGTGTGTGTATGTGTGTGTGTCACAGTGTGTGTGTGGTGGTTGTGTGTGTTTTCTGTGTCTGTGTGTGTTCTGTGTAGTGTTGGGTGTGTGTGTGTGTGTGTGTTGTGTGGTGTTGTGTGGTGTGTGTGCTAGACCATGGTGTACGCCGCGCGCGTAGGAGTAATTTTACACTACAGTAAAATTACGAGTTGCCAATAACGTTCAGTAATTTGTATCTATACTCTTTATTGATAGGCACAGGCATGGACTATTCTAATAAACGTGGGATATTTACAAGAATGAGCGCACATCAAATGTATTTCAGAAGTACCCTCGGAGTTTTCCCTGCATAACAGTGAATGCATGCTGGCGTCACGGTTTACCCGATGTCCACTTGTTTTAATAGTAACGATGAGACTGGTTTGTAGAGGATACCCTAGAATCTGCAAACCGTTACACTCCACTCTGTTTTGCAACTCTGTATGTCACCCATCAAAAGGAAAAGAGCCACGTCACTCACTGACATTCGAATTTTTTCGAAGTAATATATCATACAGTTCTCCCTCGCCCCAGCACAGTTACCTCTCTCCTCCAGTATTAAGATTACCCCCCCTCTTGTATCAATCCCAGGACAGTAAAGGGGGCCCGGGGGGGGGCCCTAATGCTAGAAATAAACTTCCTCAGTTTTAATGCATATAAATACTAGTTATCATTTATATACATATGTCAACATGACAATGTTTTATCATAGTGCCGTCACACTTTTTACGTAAATCCCAATAACTTGATACACCATTTTATAAATAGACTTCGATCAAGTGTTAGATCAGGTAAACATATTTTTATATAAATCTCATCTCCACAATGTTCATCTATGCTTTTCGCACCGCGTGCCATAGGTAACTTTCATTGGCGCGCACAGCACCATATTATAACAGATCACTACCACGAGAAAAAAACTGGCTAGAAATATGAATTGAACGCCAACTTTTACCTTGTACTCGGTTAATTGGTTTAGTTTTCGTATAACTAATTGTTGTTTAAACAAGTCTCTTCTACAGCTATATCATTATCTACCGTTGCATGATTATCAATTACGCTAATTGTTATGATTCATTGGTGAATAAAAAACAACTTTATGTTTGTCGTAACATTCCCCAGCAATTTAACAATTGTCGAATTTATCTGAACGATGTATCGTTGTAGGGCTACTTAATTAAATAATAATTAAGGAATCGGTATAAAAATATTTATGTTGACTTCATAAGCCCCATCTTACATATCTCAAATAGATCTCTACAGCTGCATTTGTTAATTTACGCAAATAAATAAATACTAAAATATGAATACCGTTTGTTAGTTTGATGTTCTTTGGAAACCGCTCAATATTTACATCGATATTAACTCGCGTCTTCAAACGTAGACATAAATTAAATAAATAAATAAATTAGTATAATAATTTATAAAAACATATAATATGTATAAATGAATGGACTCCCTATTGATGTAGATGTATTGACTTTTATATACTATATATACAATCAACAACACTTAAGAATCACATCTAGTTATGTATATCCTATAAATGGTGAGATGATAGTTTCATACACGGAGATAGTACGCCGAGAAAGCCTGATACTAACGGTTTAACGTAGTTTACGATTCGCCTCATCCTCCTCCCCCCCGACGCAGTAGCCCACGCCCCCCCCCCCCCCCTATAGCCCCCCCCAATAAGTACATTATTATAGAATATAATAGTTCGTATTACAGCAAGTTGTATTTCGACACGATTATCGGTTGCATAACGGCTTAGCTATAGAGAACAAACGTTATAATATACACTACGCTTAGACTAAATAGTGATACGGCCTATGTCCAGCGGGTACTAAGAGATATAAAACCTATATTAATAAAAGAATTAACTGCGGTAGTTATTATAAGCAACTGCCACTCGAAGCAACTTTTCGACCCTGTGAAGGTAGAATACGCCGTATGTCCTCCTTCCGAATTTTGTTGGCTTCGTAAGAGAGCCAATATAAAAGATAGATAGATATATAGATAGATAGATATATAGGATAAGATAGATAGTAGATAGATAGATAGAATAGTAAGGAGAGTATTAGATAAGATAGAGAATATAAATATTAAAGATGGTAGTAGCTAGCTAGTTTGATAGGTAATAGATAGATATAATATATAATAGATAGATAGATAAGATACGATAGATAGATAGATAGATAGATAGATATATATATAGATAGATAGATAGATAGATAGATTTTAGATAGATTAATAGTGATAGTAATAGATTAGATAGATAATAGATAGATAGATTAGATGAATGATAGATAGATATATAGAACTATATAATAAATACATAGGTACCATCTCGAAATGTTATGCAAAGGTAATTAAACTGCGGAGAGACAGCGTTCTGAACACATTGATGTTATCGCAGGTAAGTATCAAACGGTTGAGAAATATTTAAAACATTTGGGTAACAAATATAAGATAATCCTTACTTTAAAGCCTACTGTGACTCTAGCAATATAGGCCTACTAGTTCTGTTCCTTTTTGCCCTAGCTCCACCAGGATGATAACTTGAAGGAAACAAATATCTTTCCAGCGTCTATATGTACATAGTACTATATATTCCCCCTCTCTCTACTAGCCACTTGATTACAGAGATTGAGCTGTAATATAAATGCCTAGCTGATCGATACCCGAAGTTAACAGAAATATGCGTACTGTATTCTTTCAAAACATCGGGTTATTCCATTCTACCTGTGCTGTTATGTCAAGTCACGGCATTCACCTTGCGTACAGTGCCTATATTATTATGCAATACACAATTAAGCGACCAATGCGCCATACGAAGAGACAAGCACTTTTACGGAAAATACTTATTTCATAATAATTCTAACAAATATATATTGTATGCTTACCAAGGATCCGTTTCGTGAGCGTAGGCCTACTATTATGCGTACACATTGGGACGATTTACTACTATTCTGTCTTCAGCTCCTTTGTGGCACACCGCGGCACACGCACTACAGAAACGCACCACACACGCGCACACCGATTCAAGAGTACGACTCGTTATAATTATGTATCAATACTGATAATAATATTTGAGAATTGTCCGTGCGCCTAATGAAATGAAGTTAAGTGTGCGACCAGCGTGGATAATGGAAAGCAGAGGGACAGTAGAAGCACATCCAATGCTGCGGCAACGGCGTCCCCCCCCCCCCGGGAGCACTCGCCTCGGCTATCAGGGTAAGAGGGGTGCCTTCGGGACCTTGAAAACTACCTGTCGCAAACCCCTGTCCCAATATTACTGCACTAACAAAGTTAGACCGCGGTTGCATATGGCACACTTCGTTACGTGTCCTGTCTCTTGGCAATATATGGCAGATATTGGCTCAATATCGGCCTGGTGTTATTGCATATGTGAGTTATCCATTACAACATACCAATATACATATAATCAAGTATAATATAATATATATATATATAGGCTATAATATAATTTTTTATTAACATATATATAATAGATCTACATGTATTATGCTAAATATAGATCAGTGTATTTATCTATTGAATGGCCACCCACCGGTCGGCGTATACCTGTACCTACCCGCACTCGCGCGCACTCATACACGCACGCACACACATACACACACATCACACACACAACACACACACACACACACATCACACACACACACACACCACACACACACACGAACACACAACACACCACACATTCACAGCACCAGTGACACCAAGTGACACACACGATATCAATCACGCGCGCACCACCCACGCACGCAGAGGCTGCCCTTCGTGGCGCCGCACACAGGCCACTTATTATATTTTCATAATTATTTTTTCATATATTGTATATATATATTTATGCTGTCGACTGTCAGGTGGCAGCGGCAGCCTGCGGCAGTAACCCAACCAGATGTGACTATATCAACTCATTGTACGTCAATATACACAACGTCCCCTAAGGCCCTAACCTGCAAGACCGTTTCTT